TATTTCGCGATTTTCCAAGATTACACGTTCTTGTTCGGCGCAAATACGCTAAGGAAAACGAGATAGTCTTACGGTGGTCGAAGAATTCTTCTGTACAATTTTATATGTATATATGTATATAGAATCGCGAAGTAGTTTTTCTCTTCTTATCCTACGTGCACTCGTTTAACGAGCATTACACCTGGCGCTAACTTAATTGTAAAAGTTTATTCAATACTGCGTCCAAGCCCTTGAGCATCATAAGATTCATTTAGATGGATACGAGATTCGAAGGTGCTGTTTGCAGACAGCGCTTATGGTTTTTTTTTTTTTTTTCTTATTCTGAGGGATATGTTGCGTGATTTTTTAATATCGATGGTAGACGAAGATATATTTTCGGCTAGAAAAATCGATCGAAGTGACCAAGTCGCGTGTCGGTATCTACAAAAGTATAATTTAACACTTTGATTGCCGCACATTGCTTGGGGTATTATTGATTTCTTTTGGAATTTGAGATATTATCGAATTTCAAATTATTATTAGAGCTTAGCGAATTAGTGAATTATCTAATTAATTTATTTCTTTTGGAATTTGAAAAATGATCGAATTTCAAATTATTATTAGGGCTTAGCGAAATAGTGAATTTTCTAATTAATTTATTTCTTTTGGAATTTGAAAAATTATCGAATTTCAAATTATTATTAGAGCTTAGCGAATTAGTGAATTTTCTAATTAATTTATTTCTTTCGGAATTTGAAAAATTATCGAATTTCAAATTATTATTAGAGCTTAGCGAATTAGTGAATTTTCTAATTAATTTATTTCTTTTGGAATTTGAAAAATTATCGAATTTCAAATTATTATTAGAGCTTAGCGAATTAGTGAATTTTCTAATTAATTTATTTCTTTTGGAATTTGAAAAATTATCAAATTTTAAATTATTATTAGGGCTTAGCGAATTAGTGAATTTTCTAATTAATTTATTTCTTTCGGAATTTGAGATATTATCGAATTTCAAATCATTATTAATGCTTAGCGAATTAATTTATTTCTTTTGGAATTTGAGAAATTATAGAATTTCAAATTATTATTAGAGCTTAGGGAATTAGTGAATTTTCTAATTAATTTATTTCTTTTGGAATTTGAAAAATGATCGAATTTCAAATTATTATTAGGGCTTAGCGAATTAGTGAATTTTCTAATTAATAATTAGTAGCTACTGATTAACCAAAGATGCCCCCAGCGCCGGATTAAGGAGAGTGATTATTGTGAAAGAAATCTTCGCGTGTGATTATAATTGCGAATGCAAGTAATACCAGCTATCAAAGTGTTAATTCATTTTGTCTTTCTATTCAATCGACGTTTAAGTACAGGATTCCATACGTTTGTATAGAAGAGTCGAGCACGCATCGTTAGAATATCAGATATGACAGGGATATGATTCCATTAGAGATGATTAGAGATGTAAGAAACCGTCAGGCTGCACGGAAGAAAATATCGATTCGAAATTTCATTCCAACTAAATTCCGAAATTCGTTCCACGACGTTGATACGTGTAACGTTTGATATGCAGGGTCGAAAACTCTAACAAGAGTCGGATATGTCATTGAAAATATATCAGAACGTTCGAAACGAGATATGGTCGGCTACCCTCTCTTGCGAAGCAAGTAAACAAATTCTGTGTGAAATATTTTGATCCGTGAAGACTAGGCGTTCGATCACAGATTCGCAGACATCTTCTGCTGGGTCGACGTTGACGAGCTCTCTACAAACTATATAAAAATACAAAATACAAATGCCATTTTCACGAGTATCTTCGCTTCTAATAAACGCACGCTATTTTGCGATCTTCAAATTGCACGCTACAATAGACTCTCATTATATTACCACTTGACCGATTCGATCTTAACGTGGATATTCTAGCATCCTAGCGTTGCTCTTCAGCCTCGTCCGCGGCAATATAACGAGAGTCTACTGTATCACTACACGAAAGTTGAGATTTGTGGAAAAAAAATTTGTCAATGGCAGTCGATTGACATAATCTCTGTACACATATGGTGTTGCAATTAAAGGGTCTAACGATAAGACTTTAAGACCCTTATTTTTTAATACCTTGTCGAAATTTTCCAAATTTATAACAGAGACCAGAGCCGAAGGGGGGTGAAATTTTTAACCAACCCTCTTTTAGCGAATTTCAATTAATTAGGCCCTAAATCCGTACCGAGCCTCCCGATTGCCACCCCGCTGTCTCCGATGAACTCGACTGCCCTCGACCTTGCAAAACGAAGCATCGTTTTCGATTTTCAAATTACACCTGTCTCGTGATTTTGGCAATGGTTAAACAGTATTGTCGCAAAGTTTCTTCGTCCGGTATTCGAACAGTAACACGGCCTCTATACGTACAAGTATGCCTCGGATGTACAATAATAATCATTTATACAATAGGTACTTAAGTATGAAAGATAGTATATCTACAGTTAATATTGTCATCGTTAAGTCAACGGTTCCCGTGCTAGATCGGGAACCCGAGTATTTATATATGCTTTTAGTCTGATCAAACGTGAAGTATTATATCTCTGGCGTGTATCAGCGTTCTCGCATGGGTAGTGTTAAATTGCCGGGAAAATAACGAATGTTTCCATCTGGTAACGCGTTCTTAATTGTCGATGGAATAAAAAATATGAATATAATGTGAAAGCTGGAGTGATTCTGAACAACTATTTCCTTTACCAAAATGCTCGTTAAGGCATGGTTTTTAAATTAATTATGAAAAATTCAATTGCAGCAATGGTGGCTGCGAGTCGAACTTCGTCAGTTCGTACCCAACATTCCCGCGATTGAGTTTTTCATTGATAATTCAAGAATCAAGTCTTAACGAGCATTTCGGTAAAGAAAAAAGTTGTTCAGAATTACCCCAGTTATCTCCTTCTGAATGAATACCCGTCCAAAATATCTCGTTGTTATTATTTAACGCGTTATTTCGCAAAATAGAAACTTTCTTCCTTCTCTCGTCGATTGAACACGAACACGTGAGTCGAAAACGAGGCTCTAACAAAACTAACCGCTAATTCGAATGCTTCAGTCGTTATGCTTGAAAGAACAAGAATCTCGTTTTATGGAAGAAACGAATTATACTTATCTTGAGAAAGGTTACTCTTGAAAATATCACGATCAACTTTAACGCGTAAAGAAACGTCGACGACAATCGACGGACCAGTCTATCGAGTCTATCCTAAATATACGTATACATATATACGGCTACTGCTATCTTCTTTTTTTTTCTTTCTTTTTTTACATGTATGTATATTTACACGTACGTAGTATTTTGCGTTATATCTGCGTGCTCTCGGCGAAGGCACGTTGCACGGAAGAGCGTTCTTTTTTTTTCGTTTCGACGAGTGCAATTCGATTCGACAATCACGGGAAAACAACGTACGAGAATATGCGTTTTATTGGTCAAAAGTATCGTTCGACGTTTCAAGGCAAAACACGAGGATGATTTTCTAATACGACGATTCAGTCGTGTCGTTTGAGAAAAGAGATCATTGCTCGTCGATTTCATTCTTTACGACTCTATAGTACAGGTAGTGAGCATAAAACTGGTCAGAGGAACAAAATTCAACGTCCTCTATCGATTTCCTCTATACGCTAATTCGTATAAATTGTACGAGTGTGTTTAGAATGATAAATTCCATCTCTTATCTGACCAATCTTACACATCGTCGATGAATGGATAAATGAAATGGAGAACCGAGGAACTGAACTCTCTGATGAGATCAGAAATGAATCGCCGAAATCGTAAAGAAACCACTTTCGATGCTCTAGAAACGTTTAAAAATAGTTCAGAGACACGATTCCCAGTTTGTCGAACGAAAACTTAACCGCAAAGTACATAGAACGTAAGAAGGGGAGCTCGATGGAGATCAAATCAGATTCCTCATTGATTCGTAAAGCGTAGATGTTGAACGATGATCAATTAGTTAAACTCTTAACGAATTATTGAGCCAGTCCCTCGTACATCACAAGTAACACGTTTTGTAATAAATGAAGGCGACCGTGTCCTTGCCGAATGTCCTGCATTCTCTCTCGTAATGAACCTGGCCAGGTTCGTACCTACCGGTCGGAGGATACTTGTCCAGGCTGGACAGGTTCCTGTAGAGTCTCAGATAGTCATCTTCGAGTTGGTCCTGCCTGTATCTTCGACGTCGGTAAGCGTCGTCCAGCCTGTCGTCCCTCCATTCTGCAGAGGATAAGAAGGAGGAGGCGACGGTAGGTGCTCGCGTTCCGTCGTCCGCCTCCAGGTCCGAGAGGTTCTGTAAGCTCTTCGGGTATCCTCGACGCGACTCGAGCGAGTTGGCTGGGATTTGATCCCTGAAATTGATGGTTCTGCTTCGTCTGGGTAGGGTCGAGCTGTAAAGCTTCTCGCCTCTGGCGTGACTAATGCCGTTCCTCAAGATCGGCTTAGAGCCGTTTAAGTCGGCCTCCTCTCCTCTCCAGACGCCCCTGTCCTCCTGATATAGGTCCGTGTAATCGCGTTGTCTGACTACTCGAGGCTGCGTCACCGTGTCACTGTTCAAGTGATTCGTGTCGGTGCTTCTTTCGTGCAGGTACACGTTCTTAGAGTAGCTGGATCCGTCTCGATGATCCCTTTCGATCGGACCGTAACGATCGAGACTCTTCTGGCGCGAGTCTCGTTGCTCCGCTCTGTTAGGGAGCCTATAGTCGTCTCTGATCACGTCGCCGTTGATACGATGAGTCAGGTTGCCCTGGGAACCGTCCTCGGTGGAACGGCGAGCAGGGAAGAAACCACGGGACTGCATGAAACTTCCGACGTTTCTGCCGATCCTATTCGTCTTCTCGGCGAATATGTTGCAATAATCGGACAGCTTTCGATAATTGCCTCGGTGGTTGAACGTCTGCCGAGAGGTGGTCGGCACGTCGATAGGGGGATTCCCGTTGTACAGATCCCGTGGATCGTGTTGATTAGGATAAGCTCCACCCGGCAGGGGCTTGTTAGCCTTCTCGAGATTCGACAGGCCCCCGGTCAACGAGGCCTTATACTACCGGGCTTGCGCGTATTCAGGATTCATCTCGTCCAGTTGTTTCCCTTTCGTTTCCGGCACGCAGCAGACCACGAAACAAAGTCCGCATACCGCTACCGCGGCGTAGAACCAGAACGCTCCGTGCAAACCAAACGTCTGGAATAGTAGAGTTTCGTCAAGAACCGATCGGACACTAGGAAACATGGAACGGTTCTGTTTGGGTAGAAGAGTAGAATACACCAGCTTACCTGCTGAAAATCCATGAACAGTTTAATCCCTACGAACGCGCAGAAGTAGCTGAAGCTGGTGCTGATGCTCGAGCCGAGGCCGCGATACTCGAGAGGAAAGAGCTCGCCAATCAATAACCACGAAATTGGCGATATGCCCAAAGCGAGAGCGGTCGTGAAGACTAGCACGCAGAGCAACGGTATCCAATCGTGTTGCCCACCCACCGGCGAGTCCGCGTAGCCGAGATTTTGCGTCTGCGACATGTAATAGGCATAACTGCCGAAACCGGCCAGCGCGAGAGACATGAAGACCGTGCTGGCTATCAGAAGCGGTAGCCTGCCCACGATGTCGATCAGGAATCCTGTGAATCATATCACTCTCGCTTTACGACCGTTCAAATTCTTCGTCTCGATGAAGACGTTATAGCGAGGATTACCGTACCTGATAACAGAGAAGCCAATAATTGGACGAAACCGATAGCAATGGTCGCCCCGTGCGGATTCATACCGCCGAGAGTCTGACGGAATATGATGACCGCGTAATAGTTGAACGCGTTCGCTCCAGAAAATCGTTGAAAGAACATTAACCCGCACGTGATGGCGATGGGTTTGTACAATCGCGGAGTGAACATGCTGTTCTTGAATGTCAGCTCATATTGTTTCGCTCTCGAGGCAAGGATGTTCGTCTTGATCACCTGTCGATCGGTCAAATTCATCGTTAGTATCTTCGTTAGCATTAAAAGTATATTTGAAGTAAAAGGTTACGTACCTGAAGCTCGTGGCGTATGTCGACGTGATCACCGCGCAGCCATTGCAGACTGCTGGCAGCCTCGTCGTCTTTGCCGTTCAGAACGAGGTACGACGGCGTCTCGGGTATAAAGAGGGTGCCCAAAAAGAGCATCGACGGTGCCACCGCTACCAGCAGCGCGCTTTGCCGCCAATTCATGTACGTGCCGGCTATGTACGATAATAACACGCCGACGTGACCGAGCACCTTCAGCATCGCCGACAGGCAGCCTCGTATGCTCGGCATTGAGATTTCGGATATGTACACCTGACGATTCGGAAACGTTATTTAGCAGTCATAGACGTGGCTTGGAAAATTATCGAAAATCATGGAGGGTAGATTACGTACGTGGGCGACCATGGTGGTAACGGAACAACATAGACCCCCGATGAAGCTGGTGACGTAGACCAGTTCGACGCAGGGCGCTATACCGGTAAGGATCCAAACGGCGGCCAGAGGCAAGGATGTCACTCGTAGCGCCAATCTACGACCTCTTCTCATTATCCAGTCGCCGATCATGGCGCCAAACCATGCACCCAGCATCGACAACGACGCTACCCACGAGGCTTCTTGTTGCGTCACCGAGAAAGCCGACCTGCGACAAATGGCAATACGATTACGGATGACAGGGACTAACGTTATGCGAGAATCTAATCGTTCCCTAATGCCTAGATCCCCGTTTGCCGTTGTTCGTTGTTCGCCGCGATTAAGCGGCCTTACACGATCGATCGATCGTTGCGCGTTAATTCATCGATCTTCGTAACCGGTTCAAGGAGAGGCTGACGGCTATCGTTCCTTTTCGTTCCTGAATAATTTGCCATTTCGTCCGACGGGAATTCCGACTCTCTACACTCCTATCTATGATTGATTTGCTTTGACGTCGTTGCGTCACCGTAGTTTGCTTAATCTCGATGGAGGAACTCGTTTGTCAAACGATCGATATGCTCGCTAGGGAAACGTGTATAAAAGGGTTACGGTTTGCTGAAGCAATCGTATAATTCATCTTTTTTTTTTTTCTTTTCGTTTCTGATGAAATTGAAAGTGTCTACTAGCGATAGGATCAATTTCAATCTGCGCGCATGAATTCAAATCAGTTTCAAGAGTTACGTTTAATATCCATAGGATTTTTAAAGAGGTATTCAGGAAAATAGCCAGGAAAAATTGAAATGTTCAAATTGATTCGCGAGCTACTCGAGTCGGTCGCTACTATCTCCGCCAGCATATACAACAATAAATCCAGCAACGAATCGTTCGCTCATAAATTTCGACGATTACGTAAAGATATTACAGAAGCTTGAATAGTTGACGCGGGTCACCGCTATAAATTAACGAGCACAATTCGTTTACCAGTGGCTTGTTTCCTCTTTACAGTAGACGCGATAAGGCCGTGCCACTATCGGCGGAGAAAGTGTACGAGAAAAAGATCGACGCACCGACGTTAATGCGTTTGTTAGATCGAATTCTAATATATTCGAGCGCGCGAAATATCATGTCGCGTTTATTTAATTTGCTTATCTACCGAGCGACGCTAATCGTTACTGGACACGACACGTTATAACTTACAATTACTCGGCAAGTTTCACCTTTCCTGTTCGCTCGTTACACCGCTGCCCGATTTGTTTCTTAACGCGTCGATTATCACGGGGTAAACTTACCAGGTGTCGTTGTTCGTAGATTGATAAAGATGAGGGGGTTGATTATCCAGAATAGAGTCCAACGCTGGAGAAGTGTAACCCTTTGCCAGACCAGAGGATAGGGTTCCCATTGAGAGTGCCAGGGTGGCCAACACCTAATAATTAGATAAATTCCAGGTACATATTAATAAAGCCAATGGTTCTAAGATCACTTAAGTCAAGCTAAGGTGAGTATAGTTCGCAGATAAAGTAGAAAAAAGAAAAAAAAATGATGGTGTAACGAAAAGAAATCCTCCCTAAATGAGTTGTCATCCACTGGATAGTAAAAGAGTTCTCTTAAAAAATTTAAGACTAAGGAATAGAAGATAAATGTTCCTTGAATATAATAATTTTCAGCATTGCACGAGAAACCGAGCCGTGAAATACCTCCATCGACAAATGTATGCATAGGAATGTCGGTTATCTGTATCAGGAGGTTGCGCGTTGCCAGCTGCAAGCATCGGACAAATTGTTGGCCGCAAATTGAAAGGCTGAGCTGATGGCCCTCGTGAGGAATACTAAAACGTTTCGCGTGGCCCGGCTTTATATGCACGCATCTCTGGCAACGATCGTTTCAGAAGCATCATGTGCATCGAGATCTCTCAGGTATTTACCCGTCTCGTGACTCGTGACACTGGACGAAGCATCCCGCGCGACAGAAAGCCACACCGCGGCCGATTTTATGGTGCACGGAGCCGAAATTACGGAACGACCGGGATCCTCGTTGCATGGAATGCGAAAACAATGTTGCAAACCAGAGTCTCTTGTACTCATCGCGCATTGTCGAACCTTTTCGATGAAACGCGACCATAGATACGTTTCGATAGCAGTTTTGCCCCGGAGCTTTTCTTCTGTTTCCGGTCTCGTTCCTATACGGCACAATTTTACGATGGTTGCACAAATAGCTAGTTGAAAACATACATATACATACGTTGCGATTTTACCGCAAAACGGTATTGTTTTTGCAAGAGTTTGCGAGAATTATCGATGCTGAAGATCAACCCTTAATATTAGTTCACAGTGGAAGATAATAGTGGAATTTCAAATTTATTCTTTCTCAAGTTTTAATCTTGGTTATTTATAGACACGCTGTGGTACGAGTTTAGAATCGCCTTTCATGATTTCTTTATTCCATTCCACGTTTAATAACGAGCGCTATTGATGGATAGTAACTCGAGCGACACGACGTGTCGTAATACATTATCCGTTCATGATTTTACGATTTGCTAAATGACGCAAGAAAATCCCTCGTACGCGTGAATCGCGACCAGTCACGGTTTTTGCTCGCAAAGACCAACGTAATCGTCCGTTATCCAGTCTGGTATGTCGATTTACCCGTTCAAAGACCAGTATCCGTGCCGTATGAGCGAGAAATAAAGATGACATCAACGTTCCGCAACAGAATACAGTCGAAGCTGAGAGCTTGTCCGCGTACGATTTTTCATATTTCCTATGGCGGTGAGAATTTTCGCGGCCAAGCCGAGACAGAATAATTATTTACGAGCCATAATTGCGGATAATGTAGGGTGTGCCAGTAATTATTGTGCAATTTGCGCGACCGTGTCGCGGCTAGGCTGCGAAGCAACCGTGAAATAAATTACTCCGCTTAAAGATCGTCGGATAAATGCGTTAATTCATCGCGAAAGAGAAGCGGAATTGACGGGAATATTGATCTACGACGCGACATAAATTTCCTTTAAATGTAACGCGATATTCGACAAGATCTATCTAAAATTATCTTTTCGTTCGATTATGCTTTAATCCTCGGGGAATTGATAACTCGTACACTCGCGATCGGATCAGGCTTATCTAGGGAAAATTCCAATTTTTCATACATAGGACCTATACAGGGTGTTACAAAATTACCAGAAGAGCTCTACATTCGCTCTACAGAAGCGAAAAGTTCTATACCATTTTTCGATAGGATCAGTAGTTTAGCCACATTTCGTTGTTGAAAATTGACCAATCAGCGCGCAGCTTGAGTGGCAAGACGTGCGGAGCAGGAGACTGGTCTCCTCTGCCGCCGCGCCGCCGAGCCACGCCGAGAGTCACGGTGCGACGGCGGAGCAAGCAAAGGGAGATTCCTACTCCGCGCGTCTTGCCACTCAAGCTGCGCGCTGATTGGTCAATTTTTCAACGTTCAACAACGAAACGTGGCTAAAATACCGATCCCATCGAAAAATGATACAGAACTTTTCGTTTCGATTTTTCGTGATCTATCCAACGGTGTAGAGTTCGGGTAATTTTGTAACACCCTGTGTATGTATACGGAGTGTCACGAATGCCTAAGGGGAAGCCTGAGATAGAAAACAGCATTTTTCCCATGGAAGCCTAATTTGATCGCGAGTACACACGCAGTCAGACTTCTCTTTCTATCTTTTTTTTTAAATTCCATACGTGGAATATTCCAAACACACAGCACGATGCTTCTCTGATAAATCTTTCATGGTGAACATCGGACGCGACGAGGCCGAAAAACGTCGCGGAAAAATTGCAAATGCGTCGCTCGTACACGGTGCAGCTTTCCCGCGGAATCCGTAAAGCCGTGCCACTCGCACCTGTTGTAAAAGCCTGTCGATATTTTCTATTAAACTACACGACCTGTCTCCAGCAGCCGCGATTCCATCGTTACAGTTCTCCATGCCGGTTCGATGGAATTTAAAAACACAACCGCGGCGCCGATCCCACGTAAATTTGCATAAACTTTCGATATCGCGAGTAACCTTTCCTTCGTCGCGGTCGTCTCAGATCTTAACGGAGGCGAACAATAACGCGTGGGTCGTGGCTTGATTTTCAATTGATCAAACTATACTTTTCATTTAAATCGTGCGAAAATCGTGTCGTTCAAGAATGATTCATCTGAAAGATTCTGCTTTTTATTGAAAATTCAATAACACGGATACTCCACGGTTACCGTGACGGGTGCGATTATCTTCGCACAGATAACTGGAATATATAATGAACAACGTCAAAGTTCGAAACAACGTTAAGATCGCGCTAATTTTGGCTATCAATTCAATGGGATCCCGGTTCGATGCATGACCCGTATTCGATTATTCCGAAATCTAATTCTACAACCGCGATAGAACGAAAGGGGTAAACGGATTTGTATCCCGTGTACATGGACGTGTTCGGTTTGTTCTGTCGGGTAAATATTGACGGTGCTGTTAGAGCATCGAATAATAAAATAACGTTACCCAATGCTTTTATCAACCACGGTATCGGTTGATCGTGCGAAAGTGCAATATAATGGGGATTGTGTTCGAATCGACACTCTGCTCTTTTTCTGTTACTCGAAAATCCTCGAAATTTGTATTCGAGTGTTTTCAATTCTACCATCTGCGGTGACAGTCATTGAGATGAGCGAAAATTGATTTGCGCTTTGAAAGGTTCATCAGTTTAATTTTTTACATATTTCGTTTGATTCAAGAATTATTTCGTCTAAGAAGCTAAAATTCCTAATTTTAGTCGAAACACTATGGTTACGTAGGTAGATCTAGGTTACGATTGTTGAAGGGTTAATAATAAACCTTCCTCGCGTCTGCTCGTTCACCGGCAGAAACATTTACAATTTTATCCAACAAAGCGCGGAAAAGTTAAACGGCTCGTAAAATGTCACGACTGCTCGTAGAGGGCAATAGGAAAAGGAGCAACAGACATCGGTGGAACACCGTTAGACGACTAAAAGTTGTAGCGAACGAGCAAGCCGGGTTGGTCGGTAGAGTATGAATTTCCCGGAGTGGTTGCACGTTTCCCAGCGCGTTTTTTCCCCACCGGTAGCACGATGTTAAAAGCTCGTTTACGCCGGCAGAGGATGTGTCCGGAGTTAGGTCGAAGTTAACCGAGAGAGCCATTAGCTTAAAACTGTTAGCCGACCCCGAGCAGCAAGCGGTGAAAAAGAAATAGCCTAGAAAAAGAGCTTTGAAAGTCTTTAGAACGGCGCGGCACGGTGGTATTATGAAAATGGCTGGTCAGCTGGAGCTGGGTAAATCGTTATTCCAGCCTCTCTGTATATACGAGAGACAAGGAAAGCTTAAGACGAAAGACCGGCTGGCTGCTCGCTCGATATGCATTTTAAGCCGGACCACTCAATTAAGCTCGCAGCTATCCTTCGGTATTTGCATATCAATATGGATCCATGCCAAGATGGAAAGATTCGCCTCGCTCGCTGGATTTGGATTACTCGAGGGATACCCGGGACCATCGGACGGGTGTAACTCCTCTCAATAAGTAGGCTAGAGTCTGCTTTTCTTTCTAATCATCACAGCTTTCCGCTGGATTTCAATTTTCCCTCGGTTAACTCCCCGAACGGCGGACCACGGAGAGAGCCTCAATTTTCTATCTCACATTATTCTACAAATATACGAAACTTTCTATAATAAAATAAAGTACCTACCTGCGACATGTGTTGCGGTCTCGTCGCCGTCGAAGTCATGTGCACCACGGAAGCTCGAGGCATTTTAAAGCTGTTCTCGCCCTCGTCCGGCACCGTTGTTACCTGCAGAAACAAATACCACCGATGAACCTTCTCTTCGATATGTATTCCATACGCAGCATCCAAAGAACAACGGGAGTTGGTCAAAGAATTCCCCTCGACCCTCCCTGTCCACTCGAATCTTCCTCAAACTTTCTTATCTCTAGAATTTGATTTTCCACTTTCAAACCCGCCACAATAGGGATTAGTCATGCGTTTGACAGTGAACCATTAGTCCTGTATGTATCCGGTTATCTTTCTTTTCGAAAGGAACTAGGGACTAACAATGAGTATCGGTACAAGTTACCGCGCTGTTTTTGCATTTCTACAGAGGTATTGGCAATACAGTTCTTTGTCGTGCCGTGTTTCCTGGTCAGTCGTAAACTTCTGTAACAGTACACTCTCATACATAAGTCATGGAACACTTTAGTACCGTTTTAAGACACCTTGGATATGAATTAGTCAGATTATCTAATTTCATTGTATTCGTTTCAATTTCCTCGGATAACCCGTCATTTTGACATCGGAATATAAACAATGGAAACTTGAAATTCAATTTGGCAGCCGACGCTGCATTCGAGACAAGATGTTACCCGAATTTTCGTCTGTCCCAAAGTGAAGTTTAAATAAGCGTAGATATTTCCAAACCGGCGGAGAATGTCGGAGGTGAGAAACGAGACTGTCCGAAGTTTTACGAGCTTCCAGAAATTACAAAACAAAGAGGAGGGGTGGGAGGGAGACGGTTGTAAGTAACGCAGACGGCCTACGATAAGACTTTTCACGTGAAGGCATTGTCTATGGGACCCGGACAGATATAATTGTCCTCGGTGGTACAAGCAATTGTAACGCCCACGCGATACCTCTGGTTCTCGCGGGGAAAAGGGAAGAAATTTTTCTTCTCTGTAACGGGTCGAGCCAGGAGAGTCGCTGTTGGAAGCCTGTTACATCTAAATCCTCTGTCGGTGGCGAACGATTCGAAACGGTTGATCGTGCCACGGCTCGTTTATTCACCATCCACCTGACCAGCTGGCGGGAGTGGTTTTCACTCGGTTGATAGCTCAGCTAACCGGTCGAAAAGTGTCACCGGGGGGCGTGTGCGTTCACCGTTGAAACGTTATTAGACCGGCATTGGGCCCTACGAGATACATATTATTGAATGAACTATGGTAACCCGGTTACACGAACTGTCCGTTTCGTTCACGCCTTTTCTGATTTACCGCACGAACGTTGCACTTTAAGTGTTTGCTACGTGTTAGCTCGATGCAGGACACGGTACAAGTGTCTTTCGGAAAAAGGATGTAAATAAGCGAAAATAATAGAATGCACAGTGAGAAAACAGCGGGAGTGGCGGAGCTGAATGGTACCTGGTGGAACGTACCATTTCTTATCGACCACTTTTAGATTTCTTTAGATATTATATTTGTCTAATATATTAGATTGGTATTCGATAAGAAAGATCGTATCAAAGTGGACAGCAGCCTGGTGCAACTATGAATGCCTGTGCTGTTATTTTACTTTTCATAGTTGTATCAACTTGGGGAGTGCCACTGGAAAATATTTTATTTCAATTTATATCGTTTCATTTTTTTATGAAAGATCCATAGCCTGTTCCTTAAATTTCAGGATAAAATTTGAAATTGTTCGACAAGAGGTCTAAAATCTCTGTCACTTAAGATTCGTCTTCTTTGTTCTTATCGTGGCGAACAATTTGCGTATGATTTATGCTATGATTTCGTCTAACGTTTCACCCCTTAGGCGGCTTACATTGCGCGTGGGTTCTGATAAGACAATTCAGCAGGCGTGTACCGTATCGCCAATATTCCCGAGTTTTAGCTAGTTGTACAACGCTCGTGTAAGCGAGAATTCGCCCTTTTTTGTTTATCGGTTGTTTATTGCAATAGGTTCAAGTTCCCCGAGATAGCCGAAGAGAGGTCGGATAATTATAGACGAGCAGCGGAGAGACCGCATGCTAGATACTCTCTTATAATTGAGAGATACACAATGGACCGAGTAAATTACCGGTATACGTATCCCTTTCCTCCCACGCTCCTCTTTAAAGTCTTCCTCTGTTGAAGACTTTTTGATATCTAAACGATTCTCGAAGCTTGATAAAATAAAACGAAAATCAATGATTTGCTACCCTTAACCCACGGACGGCGGACCACGGAGAGAGTCCCAATTTTCAATGATTAATCAATCAATCATGAATGTCGTTAATATTTATATTGTACCTGCAATCCGGGTCTGGGAAGTTTATTTGATAAAGTGATAGTAGATGTACGTTAATAAATTCTAGGGACATCTGTTTTATGTCCCTCCCCTTTTTTCCAACCTCGCAGTAGATTCGCGCTCTCCTTCCCTCGTTCGACAGCACTTTGTCCCTGGCTGTTCGCGGGCTACCAGAGTCGATTTTCAATAATCGACAAGATAGCAGATAAGCTCGGGTAGGTCCCCTCGCTTGCGATTTCTCACGTTTTCTCCCTCGCGAGTCGCCCCCTCCCTAGGGATATATCCGTCGTGCAACCGCCTCCAGGTTTGTGAAGCACCGTTGCCTCTGCATTCTGGCGAATCGTGGCTGAAATCAATATCCTTGGAATGCCAGGAAGCTCCGCTCTGAACGATCCTATCGATACCGATTTCGAAGACTAATCGAACCCCCCTCGGCTGGCCTGGCTTTGTTACTGTTGTCATCGCCGGCGATGGAACTCGAGGAATCTTAATCGAAGAGTTGTACGGGTTCTTCGATTCGCAAATTCTTGCCGATACATTTTGTTTAACACGTTTGGCACCGCGCATGTAGTATTTTTAATTTTAATTACAACTATACATCGCTATAACGGCCTTTTTTAATTATGACCAAAAAGAATGCTGTACTTTTATTTTTATCTAAGCATTTTTATAGGAAATAAAAAGAATCAAATGCTTTATGAAATAAAAATTATATTACTTTATAAAAAAATTGAGAATTGGTTTTGTATTAAAATAATTGATTCGTTACTCGGATTTTCGCTTTACGGTCAACTTTCCCGGAACGTATCTAGGCCGTAAAGCGAGGTATGGGTGTGTTTACTAATTGTGGTGTTGGAAAAAGTGCATCGACGTGTCTAAATTTAGAAAATGATAAATAATTTGTAAAAGGTTTGAGAAGGGGGGATAATGTCGAAGGCAAGATGGTGGATTAATCTGAATAGATGAATCTGAATTGGAGAGAGTATTCGTGCGGACGGGTGCGCGCGTGCATACAGAGCAGCGAACCGGATAATATTTTCTCTAGGCGTTAGCCCTTAATAAACTCGAAGTATGTACCTGGAAGGATCGTCGACGCTACGATAGTGCACGCTTAATAATAATTTCATGCCGAGATTTAATAAGAGATGATGCCGCTACGGCCACGAAGAATGGCTGCCGCGAGCGAAAGGGGTTGGCCAACCTTGTTTTCAAATCGTTCCATCGTTCGCCTCGCCAAAGGAAACACCATTTAATAACTGATTTTCTTGATAAACAAATGTATTCCTTTCCGAAAGTAGTTATCCTTGTATTTCAACTCCAATATCGAGTGGATTTTGATTTTATTTCGGATATTCGTTCGGCTCGAGGTAACGCATCGTCGAGTGGGCTCTGGAACGGAAACGAGGAACGGGAAATCGATTAACGGCGAGGTAGCCGGATAGCTTTTAATTTCCAGTCGCTTTTCTTCCGCGAACATTTCACGAGCTTCCACGAACGGATTTCATTAGCGAAAACGGTCCGTGTTTAACGAAAAACGCGAGCTCTTTATGAAATCACCAACGAATCGCGAAAGAAAGCGTCCCGACCAAGGACGACCGTTTAATTTCCCTTCAAACGTGTACGCCGACGAACATTTTCTTCTATTTAGCCGGTCGCACAGGCGCGCCGGAAAAATATGATAATTAATATTCATGGTCGAACTGGCACGGAACACGAACGACCAGTTTACCGTGACGATCAAAACTGAACCAATGAAACCGTTTTTCCATATAATTATTATTTATACACTAGATACAGAATAGCAGTGATGCTCCACCTGTGTATAATTACTACTTCAGCATACGACATAATTAAGTAAACTTTGGAGCGTATACATAATTATTCACTTTTCTTTAATATATATTCTAATAGCATTCGAACGAGAAAAATTCAAAAAATAGACATTTTACCTCTAGCAATAATTTTAAAAGGAACAGTGTAAAATGTAGAAAATTAAGATAATGTAAAATTGTGGCTCTCTCCATGGTCCGCGTTCCGAGAGTCGAAGTCTAAGCTATATTTTTATTTTATCCAATTTAGTTTTCTTCGTCGCTGTACACCCGCTACTAAAACCAGCTCTATCAACGGCATATGTTAATCAAATATTGTGAATATTATCGAGCCAGACGATGCTACAATTCTTCGAGACAAGATAATATCGCGTTTACTTAATCGTGGCTCGACTTTAAACTGGTACCAATTAATTACTCGGCATGCCGCGTTGCTAAGTTCGATTAAACCCAGACCTTGATTCGCGGCTTGATTTATCGGAAGTCGGGGTTGTCCCGCACGCTTAACGATCGTTTTTCCATCGGGAAAATCGTGTCGTCCATTGCCGAAATTCGTCTTCGTTACGAAAGAGATATATACAAGCCGCTTCCTGGCGATCGATCGAGCTTGGAAACTTCTGGCCAGCTCCGCGATCGTTCTTCGAGTTTTTCTGTCAGGGCTTTAGCTGGGTTCCTCTTGCCAGTTGTATAGAGAGAGAACTCGGTGAAGAAAGAACGGTTTTTCGTGCGACTTGGCTGGGTATGTACGTTCACATTCTAGGGCAAGAATAGGTGGAGGAGGGATAGTAGATTTTATAAAACATTGCGGATTCGAAAATAAAATTTCATTTGTATTTCTTTGCTATTTTAGTGACCCGAATTATTCATCAAACGTTCATTTCTCGAAGGATTCTGGTGGTCGGGAAATAAATTGTTGTTTAGAACACGATCGGGGATGCAATATCGAAATGGGAACGTGGAATGAGG